AAAACCTACAAATATTGCTTTATTACCAACTTAACAGCACTTAACCGCAAATCCTGTTTGAAATCGATAATAAATTTCAGTCCGTCGGACAGAAATGACCGGTAAAGTGCTATTCTTAAACCATTACATTCAGATTTAGCTGAAACGTATATATTCTGCGAATGAATTTACTATTTGATATATTGAAAGTAAAATGTGGTGATAAACTCCTTTTGTCGAAGAGAAATAAATGTTTGATGCATCAAAAACACTTTGTTTTAAGATTTCCACAACGAGGGTTCTTGGTAAGGAATATCTTCTTCAAGTTCGAGAAGTTTAAGTATTGCTATACTTGAAACCTCATTGTATACCCTTATAGTGATGCTAAATTTTGTGGGGGCCATATAATACCCCTCAAAATGTATACTATTCAAAGTCCTGAAGTAGAAAATGGTTTAAAGCTTCAATTATAGGTTGTGAACATCTTGGAAAAGTGAAAACAATAACCCTAGTCGGGGAGTAATTTGACAAAAGTTCTTGTACGTCTTTTGCACATTAAGATATCAATTACAACTGGAACCTTATCTGTATAAACGCCATAGAAATAAAATGGGGGCAGGAAAATGCGAAAATTTTTCATTTTTAAACAATGACCTCCTGTACGGCTTTGCGAAATCAGTTTTTCATATTGTTATGCCGTGTATATTCGTGGGTTCATAGAAAAGTAAACACAACTTCAACCCCCTTCCCTAGAATTAGGTTTCAAGGTCATTTATTCTTGTATGGTTGATCCTACGTTTGCCGACCATAAATCAACTAATTTGTATGGTCGAAGTAAACGATATTGTGCACTCTTAAAGTTGGCGACACTCTCGAAGGCCAAAAAACCAATACATAGAAATGAACCGGCAGCGAACTAGTCCACGTGGACTGTTGACTTGTCGGTTCCTATTGGATAATTTTCACTAACTGAAGAGTCATAATATTAAATTTGAAGTCATGTTTCAGTGACGAATAGAAATCGGGGAATTAGGGATGGTTATCGCCGTCGTGTTCAGTTCAGGAACTGATCGCGATTTGAGTGTTGAAATTCGAAATTGATACAGATATGATTACTTGAAATTTTTGTTATCTGTTTATCTGGCGTCCTTGGACAACTACTATTAGTAATAGTGTAGTGATTCCAATAGCAATGGTGAACAATACGAAAAGAGAAACATTAGAGAGTATGTTTCAATGTATATGAGAATCTATATCTCAAGTTTGGTTTCGGGGGAAACAAACTATTACAAGCAACATCAAATTTAACGAAATTCCTTTCTCAACTGTACGTAAATCTTACGAATCTTATGAACAAATCTAATGAACGCAAGACGCGATGTGATACAGGATTACCAAAACCTTTAGATGTTCATCTAATAAAATCATTGAAAAAAACAATTAATGACTGTTACAAAAGCAATGAGATTCCTACAACTGAAATCATAGGGAAGAAATTGAATATTTTCGGCCATAACGTGAGCTGTTGTAACAAAACTCTTCAGAATTGGATAAAGAAACTAGGATTTAGATTTAAAATAATAAACAAACGTTACGAAAGGGTGGACTGATGGTTCGAGAATGTGTACGTCTAACATGCCTGCAAAGAAAGGATCGCGAATAATAATTGTGCATTGCGAAGAAGTAAAGGATGGGTTCCGAATTCTTTGAAATTATGTGAAAAAAAATTGAGAACTTCAATGTTGACTATCATAAGAACATGGAAGCTAATATTTTCAAGAAATGTTTTGAAAACACATTGACCCGAAATTTGGATGCTAATAGTATAATACTTCTTGACAACGCTTCCTATTATTCGCGACAGCCCATCAAAGTACCGAATAAAAATTCGAGGAAAGATACAAAGTTTTTTAATAGATAACAATTTGTATTTTGAAGATTACTATACCAAAACCAACTACTTGAAGTTTTAGAGACAAAAACATTTGAAAAAGTGTGTTTTCAAACCCATCGAGTTAATTTATGAAAAATTGAAATGAAGCATCAGGCGTAAAAATAATTTTCCAAAATTTGATAGGAAAGTAATAGAGCTAATTGAAGAAGAAGATGTAATATTACTGAAGAAGACTGGCAGAAAAGGATTGAAAAAGTAATTTAGTTGAAAAAGACTATATGGAGATTGGACACTTCCATATTAATGGTGGAAATTAATTCATTATTGATTTGAATGACGACAGTGATTGTGGAACAAAGAATATGGAAGAGGAGTTACCATGGTTTTTGAATAACGAATTTAGTTAGCTCCCTATATTAAAGAAAGCTGTTGGAAGGTAGGTTGCACTATATCGTTTAACTGAACTATACCACTGGACCTATGAAATGAGTGTATTTTATTCCAAAGACTAATTACACGAAAGCCTTAAACAAATTCATCATTTTTGTATAGCGTGGTTAGGAAATACCCCAGTTGTGTTTTATGAAATTCGTACAACATTTTCGGCAAATTATACCCCTTTCACTTAACTTTTTCAAGATTTTTCAGTGCACACATAAATATATCAAACGGCATAATACTGAAACTCATTTTATACTTCGAAACTAAGAATGATACATGTTTGAGAAATATCGAATGATCACTATGGGCTTGCGGTCTATTTCATATATCTCAAATTGTCTTGTTTAACAATAAGAAAAAAGTTCTGTACGGGAGGAATCTTGCATACACATACGTTCATCAAAGTCAACTATGGATTGACTGACAGTAAGTCAAATCAATATGAATGTCTTATATTCATTTCTATTGTTGTGATTGTTGAGAAACCGAGCTGAGAACTAAGTTCAGAAAAGAGCAACAAGAAAGTCGTTCTAAAGAAATAAACTTTAAATGTTTAAGCCCGTTCAACTTACACAGTATGTTGAATGGACTGACGCCTATCAGAAAACAACTACTCCACTGGCGAATACCACGAACGGCGTCAGATATATATCTGACAGGCGTCAGTGCAGGAATCTTCACAGAAAATTTCCTGCATATGCAATTAGCAATACAATTGAAAGAGTCGACCTTCAATTTTGGAACGGGCTCACTTGCAGACCGGTTTCGGGCTCCTTAGTCACTCGTCAGTGCAAGATAGTCCACTGACTAATAAGAAAGATTATCTTCCTTATTCAAAGGAATCGGGCAAATTTCGGATATGCTGTTGGTTAGTACCTCGTCCACTAGATGGAGTGACATTTTTGATATTCGCTCCAACTTAAGACGAGGAATGAAATACTCTGAAAAAATTTCGATTTTCAATCATCCATCTCACCCCAGCCAGGTAGAGGTACACCGCGAAGGGCGGTATGGATGTCTGAAGACTTTCATGCTACCATCACAGATCAGTCATGACCCATTCGTCCCTCTGACGAAAATCAGTCCAAAGGGTAAGGGAGCAAGGCTCCAACCTGACAGAAACGATGATGACTATCGATGATGATTTTCAATTATGGAATATCATTGACTTTAGGTCGATGATGGTCACTATCTTGCACTGACAAGTGGCTAAGGAGCCCGAAACCGGTCTGCAAGTGTGCCTGTTCCAAAATTGAAAGTCGAATCTTTCAGTTTTATTGCCAATTGCGTATGCAGGAAATTTTCTGTGAAGATTCCTGCACCAACAACGTTCGTGGTATTAGCCAGTGGAGTAGTTGTTTTCTGATAGGCGTCAGTCCATTCAACCTACTGTGTAGGTACATCCGAGATGGGCTTGAACATTTAAAGTTCATTTCTTTATATTTGTTTACTGCCCGTCTTCAAGCATAGCCCACTGACTAATAAGAAAGAAAACCGTTAGCAAATGAGGGTGACTTTCCAATAGAATCAATTGAAAAGTTGTTTTCGCAATTGTTTTGATATGAAATGCTGTAATGACTATATGATATAGTATACGTTGATATAGTAGCTAAAAAAGGAAAGTTAATGTCTGAAGGAATTTACAGAAGTATTGTAAGTGATTTTTGAATTATCCATCGATTCATAGGCGAAATAAAAGTATGTAGTTCTTTGTATTGAGTACACTAGCTTGTTTTTTCAGCGGTGTAATTCAGTATAAAAAAAATATTGTTTTAGAAAGTATTTACTCAAGTCTGCTATTTGGAGTTTATGGGTTTTTGACATCAACTCACCCCCTCATTATGAATTTTTACCACTGAAGTGCATTTTGTATCTTGAGAAGATTGGTTGTATCCTTCTGAAGTGAGGCCTGTTGTTGACACCACTAATGTTCAGACATCTCTTCAAAACTTCTTTTATTTCAGGAACATTTCTATTCCAAACAAGAATTTCATTGTTTCAAAAAAGAGTTCATTGTACTGTGACTACAGAAATTTAAAAATGGGGCTTATCAGAATAGCCTGTTTTTTTAATAAGCAAAGAAATTATTGTTTCACGTAGTATACCTCCAACATTTCAATTGTGGATAATAACTTGTGTTGTCTACTCATAATCACGGCTATCTTATTTATCGAGATATTTCCACAAAGTGACAAATTAAACTATCCCATAAAACATAAATAAAAACAAATTTTAATAATTAATCGTTGAACGTAATACTGCTGAAAGTAGTGATAGTTTTTTAGTTTACTGAATAACAAGGACACTTTTATAGAGAAATTTCATCAGAGCTGGTTTTGCAACTTTAAAAATATCAGCACATATAATTTTGTTAGAGTTATGGCAGCTCTGTAATTATGAACTTCTTTTGATTATGTTGTTATTTTTTTGAACTCTAGCTTCTTCACACATCAATTATAGGAACTTCGATATTTATTGTGGTTTTGGGTCTATATCTTGTTGAAGTGTAGTCAATTGGGACGAAACTGTTTTGTGTTCCCAGTAGTTCCGCCTCATTTCTTTAATAAAATCGAATTCACGACTTAGAGAGTTTTGCAGAATTCAAAACATAGAATCAAATGATCCTTCCATTAATGGTGATATTCGCTTACGATCCTTTTTCATGATGACCTATCGATCGTTTCAGATGTTCGACGAATTCATCTTCGCCTTCTTTTCTCTCGAGATGACCATCAAGATGATCGCCATGGGAGTGTACGGTAGAGGCGCATATCTGGCCGATTCCTGGAATCGACTGGATCTTGTCATCGTTTTCGCAGGAGCGGTTGAATATGGATTGCCGAACAACCTTAATCTATCCCCTATGAGGACCGTCAGAGTGCTGAGGCCATTGAGAGCGATAAATAGGATACCCAGTGAGTATAATGAAATGACAGAGCCCATTTGTAACTAATAAATGCGAGTCTATATGATGTAACGGAAGGATACGATGTTACAATTATGAAATCTCGGGCCTAACACATATTGCATTCACCGCCTTCTCAGTTATTGTTTATCTTCAAAAGGAAGCTGTTGAGATTTCATGATATTTTACTCATAAGTATGTGATTTATTGTGCTAAGAGTGGCATTACTTTTGGTTATTTTCAGTATGGCTAATGGAAACATCCCGTGGATGGACAGTATCACCCCACAGACCCAACCCATAATTCGTGAATTTACTTGACAACGATAGGAATTTATCAACTGATTTAATTCCAGTACGTTTTTTAAATTCCTAAGAAGGAATATGATGCTACCTAACTTTGACACTTACTGTTCACAATGAGATTTCCAGCTAAAAAATTCATCATCTAATAACTTAACGGTTTCTACAGTACTGCCCTTCAGTTCATTATCAGATATAAAAGTGAGTTTTTACTGAAATTTATTTTATCTGATGTGAAACCTTACGACTTGTGTTTAAGACTGGTTGAAATGTCAGCACCGCTTTAGTAGGAAATTAATTTGTTCATATATACTTTTTATTTTTCTTTTAGACGGTTGTCATCTCAATCCTAAAATCGTTAGCGTATGCTGTGTACATTTCATTTCCTAAAATATTCTCTATATAATTAACGTAGAGTATGAAGAGGAGAGTACCTAAAATTGACCCTTGCAGTACTTCCATTTCAAGTTTTTTCTACTTTCCCATCATTATGCTCACATACTGAGTTCTATTATGTAAAAAAACAGAAATCCTTTAGAGTGCAACACCTCTGACTGCGTATTTATCTAATTTCAGTACTAACTGGTCATGATAGACACAATCGAAAGCCCTACTGAGGTCGCAAAAAACACCAATAACATGGGAAAACCACGGCTTGTTGATTGATTGATTGATTGATAGCCCTTTATTTCCAACAGGCATTCTATTCACCCAATTACAGGAAATGTACAAAGGTGTTGATGAAAATATATGCAATACTGTATAATTAGTAAAAAAAAAGATTGCTACAACTAAAAGAAAAATAAGTAAAAATAGAAATATATCACAAGAAGCGAAAACCTTCTGACTTCACAGTCGTTTTAATAATTATTTCACAGTCACGAATATGAATTTTTCCAGTTAACTTGAGAGGGAATGGCTCATTGGCTTTTTGTGAAAGATCTTTTTCTTACGAATAATTTGATAGCACACACTTCCACTTTATTTTATCTATTTTTGTGAATAATTGCAGGAAAATCGCAAATTAGTCCATTAAGGTTACTCATTTTCAAAATGGCCTCCTCCTTGATCGGCAAAGTTCAACTTTTTCAATTGTTACGCGCATCAGATTGATTAGCTGTTCCTTAATGATGTTCTGGAATGCCACCCTCACTTCATGCTCTAGTTCTTCACGAGCAGCTTATGTATTTATTTGTTCCCCAAAGAAAAAACCTAGCGGAGTGAGATCTGGTGATCTAGAATATGAAAAAGAAATAATACATTTATGTAAAGTAAAAATATGACAACTCAAGCATGTACCTCGCAGGCCACTGAATAGGTCCATAAGAACCAATCCACTCTTCTGGGAAGGTGCCATTCAGATATCTCTTACGACTAGAGAATTGTGAGATGGCGCTCCATCTTGTTGAAAATAGATACCAACTTGGTTACCCAGTGGCAAATCTTCAATGAAATCATTAATTTAATTGCTGAGGAACTGTAGACATCTTTCCGCAATCAGTTGTCCGTCGAAAATTATTGGCCCAAAAATGTGCCTCCGCTAATACCCATCCAGCAATTGAAACCAATTCGCTCTTGAACATTTTTTTCTTGCATCAGATGTAAATTTGTTTGAGACCAGTACCTTTTAATATTCCTATTGAACATATCCAAGTTGGTGAATGGGGTTTCATTCGAATAAATAATTGTAAATGGAAAACGTATATCTCCTCTGTATCTAGTCAAAAACCAGTTGCAATAAGTCAATATTCGGTTGTGATCGTTATCGTAAAGATGTTGGTGTAGTTGGTAGTTGAATGATCGCTAATTATATTTGTGAAAAATTCTCCAAACAGACGAATAACTTATATCACAATCAGAAACAATTTGGCGAATTGTCGCCATACAATTCACTTCAACATATGCCAACACGTCTACTTCTTTTTCTTCACTGACGATGAAGTTATTGGCATTTTTTCTGGTTCATCTCGCATTTTTCTTTCCAGTTTTGGAAAATAATGCCGAGTGGGATGGCGACGATTAGGTAACCTCTGAGCATAAATGCGAGCTACATAAGTTGCATTCTTTTTTGTTTTCCCGTTTTAAGTTTGATTTGTCATATCCAATTATAAACTACACAACAAATGAAATTTCAAAAGTGACAGCATAATCATTAGCCTATTTGTTTAGGTAGTCCTAGCAATAGCTTCAATTGTTTGTCCTGGATAACTACAATAACATGACTTCGTGCATAAGTATACCAAATACGTATTATTTGTTATTAAGTATGATGGTTCCTTGCAATTATTCAAAAAAATCTAGAAAATAAAGTGAAAGTGTGTGGCATCAAATTATTCGTAAGAAAATGATCTTTCACAAAAAACTAACGAGCCATTCCCTTTCCATTTAAAGAAATCAAATTAACTGGAAAAATTCATATTTGCGACTGTGAAATAATTCTTAAAACGACTGTAAAGTCATAAGGCTCAAAGTCATAGTTTTCCCATGTTACTTGATCAAGAATGAAGCCATTCAGACGATCCATGGCATTCTAGATCAAAAAATTAAAATTGGAATAAAAATGATTTCATTTGTAAAATATCGACAAGTGAAGTATTGTTGGATTTAGAATGTCATTCTCGATTGAAATATGTAAAAATATATAGGATGTCTCATTTGAAAATCGGTCAAACCGGAAGCACGGCAAAGCAAATAAATATGTCAAAAAATGTAAATAGAACTATAATACACAACCCCCAAATTTCGTTTTTTTATCTCCAATAATAAAAAAGTTATAGGGGTGAGCCACCTTAGAGAATCACCCGGTATAAATAATCATAAGTAAAAGTACAAATATATTATTACATATAAGCACCGTCGATTTCATATCGTTTCGTCATTAAAATATTCTGTCAGATTGTAATAGGCTTTAGATACCAGTTTTTCATGTAACTTTTTCCTAAAAGTTTTTAGAGAATCCATGTTATTTATATCTTCATGAAGTATATTATATAGAATTTTTGATGTATTTCTCAAACCTATATGATGAAAATGTACTACCACTGGAAGTCATATTCAATTTCACTGACCATGACCATAATTTGCATCTATATTTCGCAAGCTGCTTTCTCGTGAAGTAATCCTTCAATTTCTGCCCGAGAATTTAATATTCTTCCGCGTGCATTTCCTGATTACTCGTATGTAGGTAGACTACGGAGGTAGGGATTTGTTTGCACGTATATGAAAATGAGAAAATGCTTTATGAAGTTTCATTCTTGTTTCCAAGTTACATTAAAAAGTTGGGCCGGAAACCGTCTAGCTTTTGTTCATTATTGATGCATTTCAGTTGTTTCGTTTTGACTGCTTCATGCACACATCGTGTATGCATGAAATACCAATATGTATTGTCTTGTTGAATTTTTTTGAAAGTTCTATGCTAAATTAGGATTTGTACTTTTGTACTCGATGTACTTGTTTTCAAATAATTTCTTACATTTCACTAATTTAACTCAATTGAAATCAAATAATTTTTGAACCCCGATATTTTAGATTCTCAACTTCTTCTAAACAAACACCTCTTCATCGAGAGGATTCATATTTTCAATATGGAAAGAGTTTCAGAAAAATGCTGCTTATTTTAATTTAGTGAATCAGCTTCACTAACCCATTCAATCAAGTAATTTCGAAAGGATTTCCATAATTAATACCCTTATCTACTCAGGTTTTCTCCAAAAAAAAATGTTTCCGAACCGGATATAATAATGTCAAGTCAGACAATTCCGCGTTCTACTTCGATAAGTTTGATGGGGGTTGAAATGAACACCAATATGTCTTGGCGCAATCACATTGCTGGAATTGCAAAGGCTGCTTCTCAAAAGTTTGGAACACTGTATAGAACCAGAACACTGTACACACCTCAGCAACTTTTGATGCTTTATATAAATTAGAAAATGTCCTTATAGGACGAAACTGCATTAACTTCAGTTACAAATAAAAGAGGTAAAAAACATAGAAAGTTTCAATTCTCTTTTCTTCAAAGTATTGATTGATTGAAAACGCATTTTATTGAATATCTGAAGTTTTCTTGATCAACACGCGAAGTGGAAAGGCCCCATAGTTGTTCAACAAAAAAAATGATAGTGTTAATGAATAAACTCACTATTCTCTGAGAGATATCATGTCAAGAAACATTTGATGACCTTGTATTATTCTTTAGCTAAATTCATCTTAAGCTTTCGCATCCCCTGCAAACTCCATAAAATTATCTGAAAAAACATTATGGTTTTCAACGGAGTTACTCAGATTAGATTTAAATTGTTCATTCACTTATCGAAGCCTCATATGAATTTTTATTCCATACAAGTGATTAATATAACTAGGTCTAATAAATTCCGTCACTACGAATTTATACAGGCATTTATGTGCCTAGGTGTAACCTATATATACATCCAGTAGAGTATCATTTATCACTTGAATGAAAAATAAAATCAGGATGAGGAAAGTATATGACCCTCGTCAAGAGTGCCTAGAAAACTCGTTAGGTATAGTATATTCCACTACAAATGGTATTGTCTTATCAACTACAATGAACTACCTGCTTTAGTCCCATTGTGTAGTGTAGTGTTATATTGTTATTCTCTCCACTTCATTTAATTCGGCCTTTACAACTTGAGGGTCTAATTGATTCTTTTGTTATCGTTTAGCCAATACCATATACCGTGAATCGTAC